GACCCTCTCAAGAAGGTCCCGTTTAAGAGAGCTAGAAGCAGGGTTCATAAGGGTCCCCTTTAAGGGGTCTCCCTAATACTACCTAGGAGCTCCTCGAGGCTTTCGGATCCACCCATCATGCGCTTTTCCAGGGAAACGGGCGCGAAGGGATGGGTGGAGGGCGGCTTCTCCATGGAATCTTCGAGGAGCTGCTCGGCATCCAAGGATTCCAGGGAGAACTCCCAGTCCTTCTCCAAAAGGGCCACGGCAACAAAGGCCAGGAGCTGTGTGAAACCCGGCACCTGGACTTTTAGCTGATGTTGGCGCCAATCCGCCTTCGCCTTCTTCTCATTCTTGTCCTGTCTCTTGGCATCTTGCTGGTTCCGATGCTCGTCCCTGGTGCCCTCCTGCATCCCCGCCTCTGTCCGCAGGGCCGCGTGGTTGCCCAAGGCCCTCAAATCCGCCGAAAAAGGCACGGGGCCGAAGTTCACGAAGAGGCCCACAGCCATGGCCGGGCCCTCCAAAACCACGAGCCGACCCACCCCGAAGTCCTGGCTTCTCCGTTGGGTTCGGGGTGGGGGCCCCTCCGGGGAGAGAAGCAGCCGGTGGAACGCCGCCCAGGTGCGCTCCGGCGAGGGCGGCTCCTCACGAACTTCCACCGGCGAGGCGCTGTAGAGCCGCAAGACAAAAGAGCCCTTACTGGAGCTTCCACGGAAGCTTAGGGGAACCACTCTGTAGGTTCTACCTGCCTCCAGCACCACAGAGCTCACCACATCACGACGAGCCCCGCCTATCGCGGCTGTCACCAAACTTGGCTCATCCTGGGTCTCCTCGAAGATCAGCAAGGAGAGGTCGTTCAAGTAGTAGCCGGGTGGCCTCTTTACCTGCTTTCCTCGATCCGTGGGCTGGATCGCCATGACCCAACACCTGGGCTCTTGCTTGAACTTACCATGACATAAAGGAACACAAGATCCATTCCTTATTCTGTCAAACTAAATTCACAAGCAAGAGCCAAGACACTCCCCGCTGCCCCGCAGCTGGAGCGCGCTGCGGCAGCCGACTGACCCTCCGAACTCGGCGTCGAAGCTGCGGGCATGCCAGCCTCGCCATAACGAAACCATGAGAAGAAGATCAGGATCATTTCTCAGAAGCATAAAGAATACCAGTACCAATACCACTAGAAATATCAATAATAATCAGTACCAATACCAATAGAAATATCAATAATAATAATAATAACAACAGTGCTCGTGCAGAGGCGTTGCGAAGGCGCGGGGGGCTCGGAAGACTTAAAACGCTGACCACCGGCTTCTTAACGGCGGAACAGGAAAACCCTTTCTGACAGAAAACCATCTCTACCAGTCTAACAGAAGGCCAAAAAAAGCTCTGTTGCAGAACACCCTCTCTAGCAGAAAGCTCTCTGCAACCGAAAGCTCCGTGCAAGACTGGATGTCAATATCACAAGCCAAGCAAAGCAGAGCCAAACCAAGACAAGTCTGCAGAAAGCCTTCTAACAAGACAACAGTCTCACAGAAAACCTTGTGAGAAAAGACCATTTGAGTCAAGTGCCAAGAGCCCAATCCAAACTAAGCACAGCCAAGCTAAGCGAAGTAAATCATGCCTTCCTTTGTGGGTCAGGTCTACGTTAGTGTCTTCTGGTCGCCCTAAGATTTTCCTTATGGGCCCTTTGACCCTTTGAAAAGAAACCACTGAGGTGCCAGCCATCTCTGGCATAGCAGATGTCGGCGACGGCAAAGCCTCGAATGAAGTCCCCGTAGTTCCTTCAGCGCTAATGCTTCGAGGATTTAGGGCTTAGGGCCTAAGGTTTAGGGGTTATGGGGTTCGGGGTTTATTCACTGTCTAGCAGTGTTGATTACGGTTTAAGAGCTGTACGGTTTCATGGTTCTGAAATACTGAAGCTTAATTATATTGAATAAAAACGAAACGAATTACCCCCCAAAGCAGGTTGGAGCGACTGTGCTCAAAGGACCTCAAAGAAGCTTAAACCCAAGGCTCATCCAAAAGCTGCCCTCATCTGGCACGACCGCAGCGCCCAGCTGCGCCAGCAGCTCATCCTGCTCGCGGCGTGTCCACTCGCCCCAAGGGTTACGCACCTCCGCGTGAAGGGTAATGCTAGGGTTTTGTGGTGTACCTTTCTTCAATCATACTGGGGACTTCTAGGGGGTATTATGACGATAAGGATTCCTGAATTTACCCCAAAGCCCTATTCTAATTATTAAAGGCCCTGCTATAGAACCCTATCATAGATCCC